AAAAACGATTTATTTAAGATCCTAAAACGTTACGAGTTTTAGGTTCTGAAAACGGTCCGTTTACGGCACGTTAACTTACCGTTAACGGTGCCGTTTTCTTGGACCTGGGAGTGTACAGTGGCTGCATGAGATCCCATCGGTCAGTATCCGACAAGAGCCAAGGACTTGAAGGTGGACCATGGCCCAAGAATGGATCATAGTCGTTGAGGACCTCGAAATAGGCGCAAAGAGTAGAACGAAATATAAGGAAATGCTATTTATCTAAACTTTTCAATTCGTCAACAATGATGACACCAAGCAATAAGGATTCAGAGAGAGAGAAAGAGAGAGAAAAAAGCAATATCGATCCATGGACAGGGTCAAATATACAGAGTAGCGAAGAAAAAATCTTTGATGTATCTGCGATGATTTCGTGCTAATACGATTGGTCAATGCTTGCTAGAAGTATTCAAACTACAAACAGGTTCATTTGATCGTACTTCGCGCTCTTCATTCAAATCACCGGCGAAAACAAAATTAGTGGACTTACATGACATCTTAATGCGTCATCACGTTTCATCAGTCGATAAGTGTAAAGTTCATTCCGAATGTCCGTGCATTTCTATAACAGATGATTCATCCGGTTTAATGCAACCTTGTGGAAAAAGCGAATATGATTTTTTCTGTACTTACCGAAGGACGCATAACACGCCAAAAAGCTTGTTCTTGACTGTCGATGATGGTCTTGTCTATTTTCTTTTGACCTTTTAGAACACTAGAAGAGCGAATAATGATGGACTGAAAACACTTCTTCGCTCATTTTACTCACCGAAATTGAGCTTCAGCCTGCATTGCCACGAAACCCCATTGAAGCAAGAGCTTCTTTTTCAAATCTTTCAAGGCACGCTACGAATGGAAAACAATGTAAAACGATGCAAGACACACGTGAACAGACAGACCGCTTCGTGTTCTTCGAGCCCATGTCGTTGTCGATTTCTCAGATTTCCTTTCATTAAATAAATATAATAAAATAAGCAGTATCATATAGACAAAGATGACAGTCGTCCCGTCCGATTCATCAACTGTCCGTTATATTTTCAAAAATATCTAGTCTAAAGCTACGACTCAAATTAATTCAGCCTGACTTTATACGTAATAGTAAGTTTTACTGGGCTATATATTTAGTGGATTCCAGATCCAGCTCTAAAAGTTACATACGTCGAAGCTGAGCGTGGCAAGTCGACAAGTGCCTCGGCGATTCTCTTCATGGTGAGCCATAGGTGACCTCAAGCGGACATTTCCTCGACAACTTATGCAGGTTTTAGTACGAGCTCCAAGTACATCAGTTTTTCGCCTCAATTTTCGATTTTGTCAAATTCGACGTAAAAATTGCGCCATACATGTAGAAAACATTCAAATTTCAGCTCAATCACATGAGTTTCGAATTTCGTGAAGAGGAGCGACTCTTGCCGTTTTTACAATTTGCGTCCTCTATACCAGCCTCATTTCGGAATTTTTCAACTGCTACAATTCTTCATCTATCAATTGAAGCCTATCCACTCTGGAACTTTCAGTTCGATCGGTTCACCCGTTCTCCAGATACTCCAGAAAAGCGGAGGAGAAGGGGGTACCTTTAAAGAAGGCTGTTGTGTAGTATTCTTGTATCGCTTTGTGGATTACGCTCTATATTCAGTTGATCAATCCAGACCAAAAATAAAATTTTACGGATCAAAGATAACTGAATTCCCAAACTACTCAAAATCCACCAATTGACAGCAGATTCTCTAAAAAGTTCTGAATAATCTATTCTTCCAATGTGATAGACACGAGAAAAGCATGTAACACTATACAGGATGAGTTGTCGGTCAGAAAACGATTATTAGAGTTTTGCTTCTAGAGCTTGCGTGACCTCATTTGAAGGTGTATACATTTTTGGATCATCTAGGATTGCAGAAAAGTGTCCTCTACCTTTATAGAGTAACAAGAGTGAGATACAAAAATTGGAACCTTCTAAAAACTCAAAGATTTTTTGGGGAATCCCTGGAGACCCCTCAAGGTTCAAAATGCTTTTCGTTGTTAACCTAGTTCTACTAGTCTCGTTTTGGGCTTTCGAACGAAGAAGATCGTTTCTCTTCTTCGTTTGCGAAGCACGATTATCAACACTGACTGACCATTTTAATTTGAAATAGATAGTAATACAGGACACGTTTGTGACGCGTATAACTTCCGACTGTCGCAAAATTATTATATGACCGCGAGATCCAAGTTCGTACGTTTAAACTGTTCATTTTGTAAGTGATAAGAGCTTCCAAGATCAACTATGATAAATATTCTCTCACAGTATTCCGTAATTGAAGGATTCTGAATAAACGGTCATGTATAACTGATAAGCGTACCACTTTAAGGAGGGATAATGCACCAACCCTCCCTTTAGCAGAACGAAAGCTCTTGTATGCACAATAGGTTGATGACTATAAAAACTTGACAATGGAAGGAGTTCATTCTCTATTACCTTTTCGATGTACTTTATCAATTAGAAACCAGAGCTCCTTTCAGATTCATTGCTTCTGCTCCGTTCGAGCAGCACAGGTATTTCTTTTCGTGTATTCATTAATTAATTCAACAACAGAACAATGCTAGAGAGAGTTTGTTCAGATAGTGAGAAAAAGGTATAGAGTGAGAAAACAAAGATAGGGAGCCAGTTTAAGAGAAGAAGCAGCAGATTTGGCAGACATAATTCTCTTGATCCATCGGTCGATCTCTCCATTGATCTGTTCTGGTTTTTCTTCCATTACCCAATGACCAGTGTCCACTTTAATTATTTCCAAGTCAGCGATGTAGTCCTTTTGTCTTTCAGCGGCACCAATAATACCAATATAATCTTTGGTGCCTTCAATAAATAGCACAGGTCGTTGCACTGATGCATTAAGAGTCTTTTCATACTCCCAATCGACGTTCGCAATTACTGCTTTGAACCAATTCAATTTTGGTTGCATTCCTCCGGCGAGATAATCGTGAACTGTGTCGTAGTCTTCTTTTGTCATGTACGAAGACCGATTAGTTCGGTTTCCATTGATTAGCCATTGTCGTACCTTACCAACCGGAGCAAAATCCGTCTTTGCGAGTGTCGAATTACTTGCGAAGATAAGGTCGATAAAACTATCCAGATTTTGCTCAATAATCCGTGCTGCATCGTTGGCCTCGAAGAATTCCCAGTAACCAATACTTTCATAGCCATTATTTTGCAATGACTGCTGAAGAGCCAAGGTCAGGTTGAATTTTATCGGTGGGCTATATGCAACGCTGAGGAGCACAGCGCCTAATGTTTTCTCGGGATGGTACAACACAAATCGGCTTGCCGTTCGCGCTCCCCAGTCATGTCCAATGACGAAGACTTTGGAATTACCCAACCCCACATGGCCGAGAAGAGCAATCAGATGTTCGATCATTGATTTGCTGTTGTATTCATTTTCGTTCAATGGAGAATAGGTTTTACCGTAGCCCATTAAGTTGGGTACTAGACATCCGTAACCTTGCTCTGAAAAATATTTAGTTTGATGACGCCATGAATGAAACGATGACGGGAAGCCGTGGAGAAACAAGAGAGTTGGTTTATCATCCACAGCTTTGGTATAAATAAACTCATACTTAATAGTGGAGTTAATTTCAAAAGTTTGTGTCGTTGCGATTCTGTCGATGGATGAAGGTGAACAGACGATAAATTTGGCGAGTATAATACAAGATAAAAAATACAAGATATAATGTGCCAGGACAGTCATGTCGTGTCTGAATAGCAAGTGGAGAATGTGCACTGAATAATTCACCTCATTCTGCCCTGTTTTTTCTTCTGGTTATGTGAGAAGTATTCACGCCCACTCACCTTTTGATGTATTGTATAAATACAAAGATTATTCTATCAGTGTATTGACAGATTTAGAAGAAAGATAAGATTGCAGCAGCGTTATTTTACTAAGTGTATTGACAGATTCGAAAGAAAGATAAGATTGCAGCAGCTTATTTTACCAAGTGTATTGACAGATTCGAAAGAAAGATAAGTTTGCAGCAGCGTTATTTTACTAGGTGTATTTACGTATCCTTCACCTTTGGTATGGTTGCGGCTGATGCCATTTTCAATTATGTTTAGAGTTACCGAAACGAACAAGTTAGTTTTCTTTCAATTTTAGTGAATTGGCGAGCTGTCAGTAGTGCTACTTTTGAGTCAGTCCATGGGATCTATACAGGGTTTTAAGTAATATTTTTCGAGAGGCTAGCACTATGATATCAAATAGCATCAACAACAAATTTTATACCAAATTGAAGCGCATCGAAAATGACATTTATCAGTGTTAAATAGTAAGGGTTATGAAAACCTTTTAATGTCGAACTTCAGAAATCTCTAGAACTTTGCGCAACATATTTGCGAAAACCTATCGGTAGTGAGTTCAGACTTGAAACCGGCCCGGCCGGTTTGCCGATTGCCAGTCCCATTGAACTTTTCAAACCGGCCAGCTTTCACCGGTATTTTGCCGGTTCTGTTTCTTACTTTTTGAAGTACTAAAGTTAGTATATTTTTTTGCTTGTTTTTATCGCTTATCATGGTTTCAATGTTCGAGAGCAACGAATTCGAAACGTACGTTCACCAATTATACATGAGCATTTATTCAGAATCCTTCAATTACGGAATACTGTGAGAGAATATTTATCATAGTTGATCTTGGAAGCTCTTATCACTTACAAAATGAACAGCAACAATAGTTACATCTTTTAGTGCTTGACTTGGTAATCATTAAAATAAGCTGGAACAGTTGTAACAGCCGAGGAAACTTTTTCTCTTATTAGAAAACAAGTACTTTTGCCGCGCTACACCAAATATGATGAAATTACGGGAATATATGCAGAATTTCGTGGCGAATCTGACAACGGGCTTCTTATAATTATATTTTGAGTTCTTGCCGGGGTCACCCACCATAGTCACTGTGATTTGGTTGATTCCACCAGAAAAATATCATTATTACAGTGATATCTGGCGCATTAATCGAGAACCATCTCATTTGACAGAGCATTAAATTCTGAGGCAAAAATTGTAGTGGGTTATAGGTTATCGATCATGCTGATTCCGAATATGAATATGGGAGTTGTCCAAAGCCCTTCGAAGATCCGGTTTTCTGGGAAACCATTTTTTTAGAAACTCCAAAGAACTTTGCAAAGAAGGGCCATGTAGAGCTGGGAGATGTCTAATTTTAATCATAAATTTGCGCGCTACAATCCTGCCTGATTAAGAAAGGTTTTTGTTATTTTTTGGAGTTTCTAAAAAACTGGTTTCCCAGAAGACCGGATCGTCGAAGGGCTTTGGGCAACTCCCATATTCATATTCGGAATCAGCATGGTCGATAACGTATAACCTACTAGATTTCGATTAAAAAGCGCTTCGACACTTGAAAACGTTCCCTCGTAAGTTGATCGAGCAAATAAAACTCCACATTGCTCTTTTTTCCCTTAGAAAAAGCGGGTTCTAGATTATGCGCCATCGATGATAGGCTTTTCCGTCTCTAGATAGAGAGAAGCTTTTTTATTTCGATTGATATCATTTACGAGTATTACAACATACCAACGACAAACATTATTCAATTGTGATATACTAGACGTAATGTATGGAGGAGAGCGTATTATTTATTTCAGTAAAACTATTTTTGCTGCGCTCGTAAAACTATATACTTCGCTTCTGTGCAAGAAACAGACAGAGATTGGGTGTTTCTTGTTTGCGATGTTTCGAGTTCACAGCTAATCAAAAACTGAAATCGTGATTCAAGAGACTGTTTAAATCAAAAACTGAAGGACACATTTTTGTACCTGTAGTGTGTGCGTAGCTGTATGTAGATTTTATCTGCTGTATACATTCCGAAAATTACTGTGGCGTGGATGTAGCATTTTTCTTGTAAGGTATGATTTATGTTTCTTGTCACGATCATTTTGCAGTCTGCTAAATCCCAAGAAATCGATTCCAACTTTTGTCTATTTCAGAACTCACGGTCGGCCTTATCATTCGAAACTTTCAAGGCGTTTGTGAAGAAATGCTGTTTGTTTCCGAAACTTCTGTTTCTTAATCACTAAAAGCATTCGACCTCAGCCACTTCTTCAAGTTTTGAAAACGATTTCACTGGAAAACTTTTTTTTATCTGTCAGGGTGCTCTGCATCGACTCCGCTCTGTTAACCCTGCAGCGTGAGCAGAACGAGAGAGAACAACTTGTAAAGAGGAATCGCACGCAGGTGTTTTGATAAAATTCGATTGTCTTAGGGACGCCATCAAAAATAACTGAACACGTGGACGTGGACTACATTCCACGCACAGAGAAATTTGTTCTTTACTGTCGATGTGTAGACATTTGTTTTTGCTTTTTCTCACTTAAATGGCAGAAAGAGAAAAAGCTGATATGCACAGAATGAAATAAATTTTCGTTTTCTATTACCAGTTGCATAATTTAACTCATATAACAAAAGAATGAAATAAAGAAAAACGAATTTTATCTGTTACTCTAAATGTTCATCTACTCTACTACCCATGGAAAATATTACTCATTATGTCTTTAATGGGAAATCCATCAACTTCTATGATTATTCACTCTGTTATTATTCACTTCGTTAATAACGGAGTGAATAGTCTTCGAAATTCCTTTATTCGTTTCTTTTTCTACAGATTCAAAAGTAAGGTTTCGCGATGTTCTTTGTTTGGCTTCTATGAATCACAGAGACGCGACAATAACTACACAAGTCGATGGTCAGAAGGTATTTTCAGTATAATTTCGATTTTCTGAGAATTCTGATCTGATTTAGAGTTTCGTGACAATCCGATGTGAAATCTAAACCTTTGGATAGATACAACACAATCCCCGCTGTATTTCTCACATTGACATATTTACATTAAGTATAAATCAAAAGCCAAGGCTATCTTTCTCTAGTAAAGTCTAGATTCAATCATCTAATCTCTCTCTTTTAACACGAAAAACTAAGAAAAACAAAATCTAAACTCTTGATTCACCGCATAGGTGTGATTCTATTTTTCGGAATCGCAAGATCTGCCGATCAGTAGATCTTCGGAGCCAAAATTCGCAAAAGAAAAAGCAAGATCTAGCCATTCAGATCTCATTCTTTACATTGAACTAATGTTTATAGATTCCATAAAGACTCACAAGAAAATCAGAATCTCATCGAAACTAGCAGTGGCTGAGTTCTTCCAGATTCAGAATTCTAAGCAGCACACAGCAGAATCGAAATAGTGAGGCAGAATTGAATGTACAAAAGTACGTAGACTAATGAAATTAAGCAGAATTGAGCACTTTCACAGCACAATTGAAACAGAACTGAATATAGGTCCAGCAGAATTGAACAACGATGAGAGAGAACCGCAGCTTTGACCCCGTCCAGTTCCTAAAACACTTTGGCTCAGTTTCGAAATGTTGTATTGGTTACTCACTCTTATGCTTCGCTGTCTCATCGTTGTTCAATTCTGCTGGGCCTATATTCAGTTCTGTTTCAATTGTGCTGTGAAAATGCTCAATTCTGCTTAATTTCATTAGTCTACGTACTTCTCTATGTAGACTAATAACATTCAATTCTGCCTCACTGTTTCGACTCTGCTGTATGCTGCTTAGAATCCTGAATCTGGAAGAAGTCAGCCACTGCTGTAGTTTTTCTCAGTGTAAAGTCAAAGTGATTTTTCGCAATTAAAGAGAGAAATTTGCTTAATGCCAGCAAGAAATTAATGAGTTGATCAACATTAGTGGCGTAGCTGAGCTCGAGCGTGCCCGTGCTCCGCGTGAACGCTTTTACCCGAGCACCGGTGAAAAGAAAAATCTCAACAGTTTAATCACACTAATTTTTTTTCTTTTGAAAGCCTTACGCCTTGCAAAAACAGTTTTTTAAAAAAAGGTTTTTCGAAAAACCATATTTGCGAAACCTGTAGAATTCTGAGTTTTCGTCCAAATTGTTGGTAGGAGAGTACAGATAAATAAATCCTTTGATTATTATTGTCCTTCTGTTATGGATAAATTAGATCAAAGAACATGCTCAAAATGTGAATGTTATTTTCCATCAAAAGGTGCAACAACAGCTCATGGTAAAATTCATTCTAAAAAACGAATTCTACGTCCAGAATCATCACCCAAAACGGACTCAGACAATGAATTAATTACATCTCCAGAAGTGTCAGAGGTTGAATCAGAAACAGAAAATTTAGGAACAAATCAACATGACAATTCAGTGGAATATGAATATGTTGTTGAATTAATTTCAAATTATGAACAGTGATCAGCAAGTGAGTTTGCCGATGAACGCTTTTAATCAAAATTTAGTACTGCAAAAATGCCATAAAGAAGAATAAGCATTTGTGATATATCTATTTGTTATCTCCCTTTACTTTTTACGTATTTAGTGTATACTTGCTTTTTGTGTGCCTGTTTTTTGTGATCACATATGATCAGTGTTTTTTCGCGTAATGTGCGACTGTGATTTATGTTGAAATTTTCTCGATCAAAAAGATAAACAGTAAGTGAAATATATACAAGAAGTTTTTAAAAAAGTGACAGCGTAAAACGGGAAAATTTTTTTTACCGGGCGTCCGACAATAGGGGGGGGGGGCAGAATTAAAAGTTTAGTCTCTCCAGATTCCACTAGACGCTGGTCTCAGCCTAATCACCGAGGCGTGAGGCTGAACTCACTCTCGTGATCACTGGCAAATCTCAGCATCAGAGAGCTAACAACGGAGTCCGTGATTTCCTCAACAGATGTCATAGCAGTACAATTTCATAACCTTCTATTGTTCTTTCAGTCGATTGTGGAGTGATTTTTTCTGGCTTTAGAGGGAAAAATATATCAGTTGTGTGGTCGTATTACCCAGTCGAATAAATCATGGCGGCGCGAAGGACGAGAAAGCTTCCGGAAGAGAAAATTGAAGACTTATTGCTAAGGGGAATAAGGAAAATAATACTAAGCCAAGGGGTTAACTGCTTTCGCGTTATTTACATATGGTGTCAACAGTTCTCAATTTCAAATTTTATTGCGTTAATATGCTAGCGTCAATTTTTAGAAATACGTTGATACGGAGGTTTTATTCATCAAATTATCTCCAAGATACAAACGCTATATGTTTGAAAAAAAAGTATGTTTACAAAAAAAAAATGTAATTTTGCTAGGTTTTTGGTTGAGCGTTTTATGCATTATGCAACATAGACTTGTCTGCAAGCATAGCTGTGTTTGTTGTTGAAGTTAAACACAATTATATTTTAATAAACAAGAACAAGTTTAAAAAGGAAAGCATCTATCAGACAGCGATGGCTTATTGGTTAAAATCAAAATTTATTTAGCTTTTGAAAAAGTGAAAATGAAATAATCAAAGAAAAACCTGTCCCAAACCACAAAGTAATTTCAAAGTAATTCTTAGAAAAATGACTCCTTTGTCGTGATAAAACAATTGTTGGGAGTTTCTGACTTGTTTATTATTTGCTTCCTCCTTAATATAAATCGTCACAAGCCTGCAACGGCTATCATAAAGAATAAATTGTTTGCAATTTTTCCTTATTTTTATCCATCCCTTTATCATTGGTACTTTGAGTTTTAACCTTACATTGTTATTTTTCTATTTAGAATAGCGGCTACCCATGAAGGTGGAATAGAATGTATGACGTACATGACTAGTCGCATTGAAATGCAACTAGTTAGAGACTAGACCAGTTCTTGTTTCCACATAGACTGATAGCTGGGGGCATCATCGTCAGAATGAGAGCTAAGTGAGACCTTGATTTTCCATGGTTCGGGCCCTGTCTCGCATTTCCTACGAGTCCCAGGACTGGCCTCCGATAACTACTGACAGCCATGTAGACGGATGGCCTATGGGTAATCGATCATGCTGGGTCTCATAGCAACCTTTGTTTTAGAAATAATTCCGAAAATCTAGCGAAAAGTGAGTTTTACGAAAATTAGGTTTTCACCTACATCAGAATTCAACTTTTATGCAATAAAATTATCATTCTTCGAATCAGAATCAAAAACTGAGTCGACTAATATGCATTTCTATCCTATCCGACTACTTTAGTTTTTGTCAAATTTCCACGTTGAAAAATTATCGAGATTTTTACCAAAAAAATAAAAATGAACTAAAAATTTCGCAATACGTATAGGTGTACTCAGTCTTCTATTCTGGTTCCAAATATTTTTAATTGCATAAAAGTTGGATTCTGATCGAGAAAAAAACGAGAATTACGAGGCGAATTCTGACTTTTTCGTCTCTGATTTAGAAAAAATGAATTTTCTCAGGAATGAAAAGGAATTTCAAAAAAAGCTATCTATACTTTTATTCTACGTCTAATGACGGTTCAAATGGTGTATGAAAGAAGGTTACATCTCCTAACCGAAAAACTAGATAGGTTTGCGAAATAAGTCGGCGCCTTTTGAGCTATGTAGGTACCTGAATTTTCTTTTGACCATGGTACAGGTGAGGAAGCTCCAAATGACATTTCTAGGGTGAGTTTCATGTGTTGAATCAGAAAAAATAAGTTCGAGAGTTTCAGAATGAAATTTGATAAAAATATTCAAATTTTTCGTAGCGGAACGGTTTTTCGAAATTTGATAGGATATTGCTGCTGGTTTTTAGTATCGTGTCCTAAATCCCGCTAATGTTTCCAACCAATAGTAAAGCCAGTTGCATTTGCTTTATCAAATGGACTTTGTGTACCGCCATAAATTCGTTTTTCGTTTTGTTTAACTATAACTTTCCAATGTTGATCTGCATGATAATATGTTAATTTTATATTTGGTTGTTCAGCAACCATAAAAATTTGGGTATTTATTGTTTCAGAATAAGTCTGTCTAATTAATAATAATACTTCGTTTCCTATTATCCAATAATAACGCTGAACAGAAGGATCTAAGCTTCCTTGGTAGTCGACAGCTAAATACTCTTGAATTAAATCCCATCCTATACCAAGTACTGACGTATCCTAATGATTTCCTTGATGTTTTAAATTTAATTCCATTTCCGGACTTTCGAATAGACCTTCCAGCTGCATCAGAGGCAAAAAGAAACTCACTTTACCAGTGACAGTATTAACACTGGATAGCAAAGGTTTAATATCAAGTGAGTCGCGCAATAATATTGGAGATCGTCCTTTGACAATGGGTTGAACTATTTGTGGAACTTTTTCTAAATTTAATCGTCTTTGTTCTTTAAATTCAGCTGAGAACTTGCCTTCGATTAAAGATGATGATGATAGAATCAATTCCTCGTCCAATGAATTCTCTAACAAGCGAAATGGTGCCTTCTTAATTTCAAAAGCGTTCAACCGTCCGTTTTGATTTGTAATTAATACAGAACTTCTAGTTGGACCTTTTGAAGTTGGAATGAATGTTGCTGGAATAAGATATTTTTCTTTTATATTTAACTGCCTAGCTTTTAGGTTTTTCTCCCATTGACGAATGTTTAGATTAAAAGAGTTTATTCCAAAACCTGTAAGTCTTGTGTAAAGTAATTGTGCAAATCCACTCTCGATAATATCAGAAAATAGCATCGACTGCGTATGTTCTGCTTTCCAGCCGTTCTTTTCAGCAAAAGACTGATCATGATTTAAACAAACAAAATTACTTTGCTCTGGTAGATATTGGTAAACTCATAAATCCTCTTGTTGTAATAGAATCAAATTTAAATAATTGCCCTTCGTCAAACGTACAAACCATAAGCGATCACGATGTGATTGTCATCCACTATTCTAATTACATAAGTCACTTTTAATTAATAATCGAGGACGTAAGCCTTGGTCACTTTTTTAAAAATATGAATGGAAAGACCTTTATAATCTTGATGAGTAATATGCCAGTACCTGTAATATCTGAAAATTCAGAATGATTTTCTTTTAATTGCCATTCCAGTTGATTGATTAACCATTCATTCGTTGATTTAAGATTAAGAATGGGACGCTTATTCTTGATTCCAAAACTTTGATGATCTAATCCATAGAAACGAATACCTTGGTTTATATGCCTTACAAACAATTCGAGTGGTTGAAACCAAAAAAATAAACCCTTTATAGTTGATTAAGCGAGTTAAACCATCCATTTGAATCAGCAAACAAAGTATCTTGAGCTAAATGTCGTAATACTTGTTTTGATGTGTCTTAGTCAAAAAACTGAAATCCTTCTTGGATTCTATCAACAAAATTGCTTTATTTAAACTAAATATTTTCAAAATTTTTAAACCGTATTATGTATAGTTTAATTTTAGAAGTTCTTGTCATTGTCCATTTTTCGATGAATATTGATAAATCTTTCATCCCTCTTCATTACATAATGCCAGTTGGAAAGTATCTTGATCAATTAATTGAATTGTTAAAGCTGAAGTATACCATGATAAATTTAGCCATTGTGGTAACGTTGACGAAGATTGCTAATTTTATTTGAAAAGACATTGATGATTGTTCTTGAAGATTTGTCATTTATTGTGTCGATACATAAAGGTTAATCTTCTCATTGTCCATAACCATCGTATAAGAAAGTATTTCCGAATCTAAAGATTTTATAATAAATCTTGAGCACAGTTCAAATAACGTAAGTTTCTTCAACCTGTAGATCCTATTAAATACTTTTTCGCAAAATAAAGATGCAAATTAAATATAATTCAAAAAAATCTTCAGTAGCAAAGTTGCAAGATTGCAGGCGAAACTGATGATTACTTTTCCTCTGAGATCTTAATCGTATGGTGCGGATTACACAAGCGAAACACGTGGTAACAAACACGCATCCATGCATGCATAGATCGAGGAAGACATTACGGAAATATGTGAACATAGTAATACCTTTGACTCTGTAAATGACATAATTGGAGATTATAAGGGCGATGAGAAAAACACGCCGATAAGTAATGATGCGGCACATTAAATATGCTGAAAATAACTTAGAATATGTGCTATCTATTGAATATATTCCATAATTTGTAATTGATTCAAAACCTGAACCTGTCTCGTTTACAACTACTTGCTTCAGTCTATATTGATATTTGACTTAGTAACTTTTTATGCATTTCACTAGTATATGCGTATTTTGTTTCTTTATTGTTCACACATATATAAGCATATTTTCAACTAAAATTAAATACTTTAAGCAGAAAACACTTACGAAGGCTAACGAAGAAATAACTGCATATTGGAAATAAGTACAAAATTAACAAGCGATATATAAATAGCTGTTTGAACGCTAAGCGGCAACTTCATCATTTGAAAACAAATGATATTTTCATGTAAATTGTTTTATCAATTGAAATCAAGTCCAAATGTAACATATGTTTCTTTTATAAAGCTGGATAAATCCTTCTAAAACATACTACATGGTGTCCAGTAAATCTCTCAACAACTTTGGACAAGATTTTTTCTACTACGTTTGAATAGTTCTGCTCGTGTGCTTTTGTGTTAAAAACTAGATCACTCGGTTTACTTTACAATTGTTTCGATATGTCTGTAACTCTCACCACGGAAGAAAGAGTCGCGATAGTGTGACTTTTTTCAAAATTTGAAAATGCTCACGAAGTCCAAAGACAATGGAAGCATCATTTTGATACGACTCTTTCGATGGCAACCACGATTTTAGCGGTGAATCAGAGGTCTGACGAAAGAGCAACAGTTGAAGATTTACCACACAGTGTGCGGCCGGAAATTGCACCTTCAAAGGAGAAGCTGAAAGAGATTGAAGAAATAGTCATGCACAGTCCAAAACTGTCTATTCGACAAGGCGCTGCTCAGGCCGGTGTACACAAAACAAGCTACCAAGTAGACATGAGACAACTTCACTTTAAACACCGTTAGACAATTTTGATCGTAGACCTAAACGACGATGATTTCGATCGACGCACCCAGTCTTATGAAATATGACTCGAAAAACTCTATTAATAAACAATTTACATGAAAATGTCATTTGTTTTCAAACGATGAAATTTTAAATTGATTCATTGATTGTGAATTTGTCGTCCAGCGGTCAAACAGCTAATTATATCCACCTGGAAAAAAATAGTTGTACTCGATTTTTTTTAATATATCATCAAAAAATTAAAAATACATTTTAAAAAGTGTAATTATATATTCTGAAAGGGCTCAGAGTTCTCTATCACTCTGTATATTAATGTCTTGTGTTTTTGCTTGTTTTTTTTTACATTGAGATAGTTTATTTGTTCCTTGAAAAAGGTTAACAAAAAAAGATTCATATAAAATACACATAACACAAGTAGATCATATTTAGTAGAAGACGGAAAAAAAGATACGTAGAACGATTAAGCAATAAGAATTTCAATTTTATCTTAAATCATGCACACATCAAGAAGTTGAAAAATGTAAAACTAGATAGAAATTAAAAACTTCTATTGTTAAACAAATACAAACAAAGAAAAATATATTTAAGGTGGCAAATTAAAGTATTTGTATGCTGATGTGTTGATGTCTTTTTATAAAAGCTATATTGCTGATTTTGAATGTTTATGAAGTTAAGAACGTCTATGTTTGTGTGCTCTGTCAGCAAGTCTTCGAGAAAACCTACTGTTTTTGCGGAAACCACTCGCTCTATACCATTCCCTCATTGGCTGGGTAGCAATCTGATACGCAGTCCAGGTTTGTTTGATAGACAAGTGCCTCAGGAGAGTCAGAGAGATGCTTAAATAATCTTAAATAATATCGTAATAAGTAATCTCTTAGAGTCAGTTTTCTAGATAATATCATTGTTGTAAGATCGTCGCAGTTTCACAATCTGTAAACGAGTCTAAGCCCTGTGACATAAAGATGTTCAATTTGAAGTTTTTGCTTCTCGGTGAAATAGAAAAAAATCGGAAAGAGTAAACAGAAGTGGAGTAGTGATGCAAAAAACGTTTTCTTCTCATAGATACGCGTGACTTTGGTATAGAACGGAATTCTGTACTTAGTTCATTGTAAATTTTACGTATTTTCCTTAATCTTCCTAAAATATATCCATTCCAACCCATTTTAGTTCGAATTTCAACACCTAAATACTTGAAAAAATTTACAAAAGCAATCAGAATTCCTTTATATGTGAGTTGAGTTCTCTTGAGAGCTACAACGCTGTGAACAAGGAGCGCTGTCGTTTTGGAGACATTTACAGGTGGAATATTATTGTCTGAGAATTTCTCTAATGCTTTTAACACAGTTTGTGTCCGTTTTTCAAGATCTAGTTTCAGGATCCAGTTAAAACAATAGCTAAATCATCTGCAAAAAGGTGTGATATTGCTTGAAAGAAGCATTGAGGCAAAAAATGAAGATGAAGACGAAATAATGTTGCTGCAAGAACTGAGCCTTGTGAAGCCCCTACATATATTCTTATAACACGAAACATTATATCATCATAGTGAATAGACGAAAGACCGGTCCTGAATATATTAATGTCTTGTCTTACATTTATTTGATGAAAAAGAATTTGAGCACAGCGAAGGTGCTTTCATCGTCAGATTCCCACGGACTGCATTTTGTTACAAATTTCTTCAAATTATTTTTTAAATTTATCATCATTATAGAAATTGCTTTTTATAAAAGTAATTCTATATTCCGATAGCGCATGAAATTCTCTGTCATCCTATGTATTTATGCCTTTCCTTGCATTTATTTGCTAAAAAACAGTTTGAGTACAGCGAAGGTGCCCCCAATTGGCAAGTACTAAAGAGCTGGATTTTTTCGCTTTTTCCACACCATCTGTACTAAAAGATTTGTTTACAGACCATGAGAAAGAGCACAGGCAGAAGTACAACAAGAACTGACTTCTCACTTTTGCAACCCCTTTTTTACGGAAATAATAGCAAAAGAAAAAGGTTCAAATGGAAAAAAATAACAGATTTTCAAAGTGATAGTTTTTTTCATCTTTCCTATAATCTACGTAGCTTTCTTTATTGAAGCTTTAAAATTAAAGTTTAGGTATAAATTTTGTAGAGCATTTCACGGTGCATCTTTACCAAAAAAACATTAACCTTTGGGTCTTAAAGAAATACAAGAAAAATAGAAAATACTGAGAGATTACACTCGTTACAATTTCCGAGAATCTGACGATGAGGGGGGCTATCAGCAGTGCTCTCAATTTATTTTTCGGCAAATAAATGTAAGACAAGACATAAATATACAGGGTAATAAAGAACTCCGAGCGCTTTCAGAATATAAAATTATTCTTTTTAAAATGTATTTTTACAGTGATAATATATTAAAAAAAATCGAGTGGAACTATTTTTTTCCGGGTGGATATATATAAGTTGTAGGCAAACCTGGAACTCCAATTTTGCTCAGGCAAATTTGAAATTTCACTGAAGCAGATCAACTTTGTTTTGTTTCTGTTACTTATTTATTTTCTTGTTTTTCTTACAAAAACGTTACATTGCTTCACAACAACATAAAATTATAAAAAAATAGCATCGAAAAAGTCTCGGAAAGTTTCGATACCGGCACTTTTATATCGAAACTATACGAGACTAAAGTTTCGGGTATCGAGTACCCCGTCTCAGTGCAACCTTACGTAGCCTGCTTTTTGAACATCAACTTGACCTTGTGCAAAACTCATTTGAAAATTGTACAAAAATTTCGTCTATTCAGTTTGCGTTAAACCTCAATGGTAGTAGCAAATGAGAGGAAAAAATCGAATATTTTTTCTCTTTTAATAGAACAATCAGATGACAGTAGAACTGAGCAAAAGAAAGAATATGCGTTCTCTTATGTTAAAAAACCTTGCTATGAGCCAGGAGAAAATGCTGATTTAAATGACTTAAAATGTTTATATGACATCAGCAATACCCGTTTATTCGTTATTGTTTGACTTTGAAAAGTGTGTCAATAAAAATGTATTTGTACACATTATGCATTGCATAATGACACTAAAGTGAACAGCGAAACACTAGAACAAGCAATAATAAATGTTTCAACTGAAGAACATTTTTCTGCGATAAAGTGAAAGAACAAATGGGGGTGTGCGTGTAGATTTTTACTACGTGCAATGTATGTTCGATGACATACTACTTCGATACGGTCAATAAAAACATGGCTTGCAATTATTTCTTTCTAAAAATAATGATCATGCAGCTTGAAGGACGCATTCTTCTAACATCGTAGGTGGCTGTCGCAGCAACGGTGAATACTATAAGTATGTGTGAAATTTGACATAATTTCAACATTGTTTGTTGGTACGACAAAAAGAATTAAGAGCAAGATGACTGCTGTATCAAACAATGGAGTGGCACCGTTTGAAGTAAATCAACGTTTTTCTGATATTGAAAATGAATCGCGAGCTATGCTTTTGTTGCCGTAAGTTTAGACAAAATAAATATATCAAAAAATTAATGCATTTCTTTGTAGAATCGAAGACTACGAAGACATACCTTTTTTGTCTTTGAAAACTGCTGTCGAAAATTTGGAAAACATTGTGTCTAAAGCAGTGCAATATGCAGCGTTGGCAAAGGACAGATGTATTGCTGCTTGCGATGGGCTTAGTCAAGACGAATCGGTTTCTATTCAACTTTATACTATGGTGTGGAAACCAACTTTTCAATCACTTCACGTTCAACTCAATACTGCTCTTCGAGCAGAAGATCGAATTAAACTCACTCCATATTATTCTTATCTCAAACTGTTGTTGAACGCCTTATCGAAACTCAAATCAGTAAAAACGACAGCATGGCGCGGAATCAAAGCAGATCTGACTGGTCAATATTCAGTGGGCAAGACTTTTGTCTGGCGAGGATTTAGGTGAGTGACCTCTTTCTCTAAATTAAACTGATTTTAATCAGTTATTTCTCTAGTTCATGCACGGAATCACTTGATCTCCTTCAATCGAATAACTTTCTCGGCAAGACAGGCGTGAGAACACTATTTCGTATCGAATGCCTAACCGGAAAAGCCATTCATAGACATTCGTATTACAAACATGTCAGTGAAATTCTTCTTTTACCCGGTACCCGATTTCAAGTTCTCAGCCATTCGAATTCTGACAATGAATCACATATTATCCATCTCAGAGAAGTTAAATCAATTATTACACCACGTACTTCATCGATGTCAATTAAACCAATGCCACGATATGGTTTTCCTTGTTCTGATACAGATGTCCTCTGTTTACAACGAACAAAACAAATCAACTCGCATTCTTATTCTTCAAGGATTGTTAAATCAAACTCGATAAATTATACGACGAGACCATATCGAAATAAAGTATTACAAGAATTGATGAGCAATGAACGAACGAAAGAATCTATACGATTTCCTCAACAGCCCGTGAATATGGATGATATGCATTTGATTAGTAACGAATTGATATCGAACAAATGGTGGAGAATTATCTATTTGTGGAAAGCCTATTTGGAAGAAAAACATCTTGCTATTTTACTGTGTGCAATTGAATCAAATTCCATTGTAATAAATCTCAGTCTTGATTGGAATCGATTGGGTGATGATGGTGCGTCCTTGATTTCTCGTACTCTACAGTTAAATACATCTTTGCGAAGTGTTTGTTTGAGTGCAAACGGAATTGGTGCAATCGGTGCTCGAGAATTAGCGGATATGTTACATGTCAATAAGACATTGACACATCTCGAACTTGCATCGAATCCGATTGATGATTCTGGAGTAGTCGCTATTGCTCGTGCTCTACAACAAAATCGGACACTACAATCTCTCAATTTGAGTCAAACAGAAATGACTCTGGATGGTGTTCAACAATTAGCTAATATGCTTGAAATAAATACAATTTTGAAAGTTCTACGTCTAAAAGACAATGATCTTGGTGATGAAGGAGTGATGATCATTGCTCGTGCATTAACTCGAAATTCCATATTATCGACGCTTGATTTGAGTACAAATAATGTGACACATGTCGGTGCCAATGCAATGGCATTTGTATTACAGCAAAATAGTACTGCATTATCAAGTCTAATTATCAATGAAAATCCCCTCGGAGATTTAGGTATTACATCGATCGCATGTGCACTGACAACGAATACGACTTTAGTCAAATTGAAACTGGAGTCAACTGATATGACTATTGATGGTGCTCGCGAAATTGCAAATATGCTATGCCTAAATAACAATATAATATATTTGGCTTTGAGCAGAAATCCAATTGGTGATGATGCCATCAATCTACTAGTCAATGCGTTCAATGACAACAATAGTCTTCAACATTTGCATCTCAACGATGTGAATCTGACAGATCAATGTGTTCCGGATATGATGGCTATTTTGGAACAAAACAAAACGTTGAACTCGATTGAACTTGTCAAGAATCTGTTGAGTGAGGAAGCCAAAGTGACAATTGAGAAAGCAGCAGAAATAAATCAAACGTGTTCTTTATATTTTCAATTCACTTTCCAAGGAACATATTACGTTTAAAAACTAAAATGTTTTTGTTATTGTTATTGTTGTTGTTTCGTTCAAATAAATATAGCATATATGCATTCTATTCTTCTCTCTTGTGAATGAAAGTTCTCAAGTAGCTGTTTAAGCGAGACATGCAGTTATAGAGATTGAAGTATTAAATATCCAAAAAGTATTAAAAGAATGTCTTACATTTTGATGTTCGATGCTCGCTTAGTTATTAGACAGGGATAGAGTTGCTGGCGACCGCTGTTTCAATCTATGATCCAATCGGTACCCAAACACAGAGTATCTTGTTGCTTTTCTTCCCATGTATTGGGCCACGTCGTTTGAAGCCACACCCATCGGTTACCATGGGCTGCAGTGTCATCTGCTTCGTTTGTCCTTCTAAGGAATATAGCTTGTGTCAATGCAATGAGCGAACAAATTATAAGGTTTGAACCAAAACTTAGTATGAAGTAAAATTGTGCTTTATAATCAGCTTTACAAGCATGTTCTCGACCTTTTGTTTCATGCTTTGCCGCGGAATGTTCAGCACCCGTCGAAATCAATCAAAAGAAGGGCATTAAAAAAACTGAGCTCGTCAAAGACAAGATTTTCACATGGTGCAAACAAAGAAGAACTAGCTGAATTAGTTCCTTCCTCGTTCCTTTCATCCTGCAGGAATCGTTCTAAAAACTTTTACTAATTTTGACATTCATATTGAGATGAAAACAGTGGATAGTCTGTCTATTCAGGACTTGTAAAGATTTTGATTTTTATAAAAAAGAGAAATGAATTTCAAAAATCCTTCCGGTGTTTTTGTGGTCACTAATTCAAGGTTTCGAATACAAGAAAACTAACAGAGTACGCTGAGCTGTTCTGGAGAAAAATGTATCTTACTGAACGACAACGCCAGAATCAATACTGTGAGAATACAGTACAGAATAATTAGTGCATTTTAGGGCTTGTACTAAAACGCTGCGAACTTTTAAACGTAAGGTGATACAGACCTACACGACGATATCTGGACTAGAAGAGTATGCTGTATAGATCTGCGTTAGAGGACTAGCTATTTGCACATACTACTCAGCTAGCAGCAATAGCTTCTAGTTGACACTTTGAAAAGTGGCATTGGCCGCTATATGAAACTTCCGAACGTGGCAATAGAATCTTATTAACGCCCTGAAAGCGGCAATAGCCATTCCGTTTTATGTTTAATTGTCTGTCGTACTATTTGTCTTCTATTACACTTAGTTTTATAAGAAACGTAAAACAGTCAAAAAATGTCAATATATCTTAATTTTATCAACTACTTCTGAAAGGACGGGGAACGGTTTATGCTAGAAAATGGCCCAATATGATTTTGAGTGAATATTATCGGAAATGCTTCTCTTTTCACTTTCCAACACTTCCCACGTTCAAAAATTCCTTCTGGTGTCTTTCAAACAAAAATTATTTTCCATTTTTCGCCACCAGTTCAACAAAAGTCATTTACCTTTCTCCGCAAATTTCTCGTCCGATTTCAAAGGCCCTGAGCAAAGCTCATACATAGTAACATAGAGAATTTTCTGGGCTTCAAATAAGCTATAAATAATCTGCCCATACAGGAAAATTATCGAAATACTAGAAAGATATCATCATTTTTACCTATCTTAGCACTTTAAAGGAATATTTCTTGAACTCATCTACTCAGAACCGGAATGTTTTGTATATGAAAAGATAGAGAATTTTTCGGGCTTTAAAGATGTCATGATTTTCACCTATCTTAGTGCGTTAAACACACCTTTAGTCATTTTTCTGCCGTAATAAAAAATTATATGTTTTTCAAAAACATACCATTGGATAGTCCTTTAAATTCTCTACAAAGTGAGCTGGTCAGAATATCCAGACAGATTGGACCAGTCATTAACGATATCGAAGAGAAGCGTTTGGGTGTTATCTATGCAGTACAGTGTGTAACAATCACAAGAACTCCTTTGTTTTTTATTTTTCAGTAAAAGCTGGGACCAATGTGAATACTGTTTTGGATAGCACGAAGATTTTTCTAACAGATGAGGTGCATATCGCCGTTTCATGAGGAACGTTGATAATAGGGTTTCTGGAAAACCTGACCGCTAGAAAACCAAGTCCTTGGTTTTTGGTCAGAAAATCAAATCATATAGCCTGATAGAGCAAAGAATTTTGAGGAAAATAAGACATCTCCAAGCTGTCTATAAGGCTTTGTCACATGAATGTTTTGGTAATTTTCACGCCCTTTGTAGCCGTTCGCAGATCGACTGCAGTTGCGTGAAAAGCCTTATAGACAGCTTGGAGATGTCTTATTTTCCTCAGAATTCTTTACTCTATCAGGCTATATGGTTTGCAAAATTTTGCATAGACAACATCCAAACGCGTCTCTTCGATATCGTTAATGACTGGTCCAATCTGTTTGGATATTCTGACCAGCTCACCACAGTGGGCATTTTTTGCTAGAGCAGGCGGACTTTAGCTTTATGAGTGAACTAAAATTTCATGAACCATTTTTTTATAGGTTTTTCATGATCCTCTTTCTAATGGCATGAGAGTTGGGCTTTGAAA